CCCCTTTAACAAATGAGAAAATTTGGGAGGTTGAATCAAAGCATAGCTCAGTAGCTTAATACGTATAAGATACATAAATGTAGTTTCATTTCTCTGAGTACAAGGTTTTATTATTTCAATTTTGCACCCTGTTTTGTCCCACTTCTCAAGAATGACTCTGGTTCTATTCATTCAGAAAAGAAAGATGTTAAATATTCAGTCTATGTCTAACAAGTCCCTCTGAACTCTTGTCTTCGGTATGGTGTGTTCTTACAGGGCAATGTAGCGTTAATCGCACTCGAGCTTTAAACAGGTTTACAATAATCTGCTCAACTCAACACATTTCAATTAGACACATGAATGCAAGATATCCTGAGCAGTTTTCGCAGCAAAGATGTTAATTACGTACATAAACAAAAACGAATGTGTGGGGAAAAAAAGTTGTCTTATGAATACAATAACAAGGTAAATTCGGGCGGTTTTTTACATTGGTCTCTTGACAAAAAATGGTCCAATTTATTTAAATTAATTCCACTTAATTTATTACCCACGATATAGTTATTTTAATGTACAGTTATCAACTTAAATATTATAATATGTATTATTTTCACACATTCAGGCGTGCTACGTTAGCCGTATTAGCTTAGCATCCCCTGTGGGCTTTAAACAGACAGTAAAATCACTGAATAACATCAGCGTCTGTGGAGCTTCTCACCAGAACTGGAACTTGAGAACCGGACCCGTGTACAAAGTGTGTTTGTTCTGTCTCTGTGTGTGTGTGTCGGGTCCAGCGCTGTCCTGTTGAGTCACGCTGCTGCGGCCCACATAAACATCCCTCACGGTGAGCGCAGTAAACAGCAGCAGGGCCGTTAATATACCCGTCTGAGTGTACTCCGCCATCTCCGGACCCGTCCACACCGACAGAACCGCACTGACAGCCCTGCTCCCGCTGCCGTGCCGTTACCGCCACCGCGGAACTAAACACGAACCAGGGTAATGTGACCAAAATATGTTCCAAAATAAAAGTCTCCCCCGCTGAGTCATGATGGAGAGCGTGGGAAACAGCGACATCTAGTGGTGAAGAGTGTCAGCAACACATTTCAGGTTTTAGGCTCCAGCACAACACCGTGTTCATCAGTACTACATGTCAGGGGAGGAATGGACATTCAGTACTAATATATGTTGTAAATAAAACATGAATTAAAGTATGTAGGATTTTTTTTTAAAGAGGCAATAGTTACAACAACATTTCCCCCCTCATTTTTACACAGCACATAAATTAGCCTACATACTGTGCAAAAAGCTATGTGGAGAAAAACTAATTTTATAGCCCATCTCTCCTCAGCTAATGATCTTAAGAGAATGAGTATATTAATTTGTCTGCTAATTAGGCTTTTTCTGTGAATTTTCATGATTATGAGTTGCAGCATTTTTCTTTTTTTTTTTATTAGCACAGGAACATAAACACACGGGGGATACAAAAACAATTAAAAAGTAAACAAATATACAATTATTTTACAATCATAAAAGTTACAACTTATTTATGCATTTTTTTTTTATAAGATTGGATGTGTTTAAGGCTTTTTTATTAGAGGAGACTTTTTGAAGTGATGAGTAAAACAAAAGTAAATATTTGTATATGAATATTTTAGTTGCAGCATCTTGTACTTGTAATACACAGCTTTCGCAGTTAGAGGCAGCAAATGTAATTATTATGAGTTTAACTTTAAAATATGACATTCAAACATATTTCTGGAACACATTATTCAACAGGTATGCAAATACCTTAACTGATGCCTCTAAAATGCAATAAATACTAAATGTTTTGTAATTTTCATCAGACACAGAGAGTATATCTTAACCCTATAGGCACTTTTGACTAAAGTATAAATTTATGGCCTGTGAATGTGTGTAGCAGTCTAATATTCCACAGCCTGTATTTATGTGAACATAAAACTGATTACATAAGCACTCTAGGGAAGATTTATTTTGTCTTTTTGCACTGGTTTATATTTAGCACAGTGAAAAATGAGCCCTTCTACATTAAAAACAAAATCCACGTTTAACTCCTCTTTGTTCATTGTACATTTCTATATTTATTTATGACAGCAGGATGATTATTGTTGTGTGCTCTATTAGTATTGTTAATACTTGCCTTAATCAATGAACAATTTCTGCTGAATAGGATTTTACAAATGCAGCGCGCTTAGTTTATAAATAGTGTATTTATGCTCTTTTCAGCATAAATAATAATTAACAGCATTGTGTTGTACATTGGAAAACCACTTCATCAGTTCAAAAAGCAATGCTTTTTTTCTTTTCTCTAAAACATGAACTCCAATAACTGTTAATGTTTTAAAGCATTTCCCAGCTAATAAAACATTCAGTGCTCCGGGATATTTGAGATTTGGTGCTCAAAATCAAACATACATCTGTAACACGTCACACAGCATACAAGGGCACAAAACAAGACCAATCATAAGGCTTCAATCTCTTCAGCAGATATAAGGCTAGCACTGTTGAAACCAGAGAATGCTCATATGAATCTGAAAGCATTTGAAACCACACAGAAAACTGGATAGAGGATAGAGGTTACACAAAATGAAAACAAAACAATCACAGGAGCACCAAACCGCACTCGCGCATCCCATAATCAGCATTTCCACATTATCAGCAACCCCTTCCACAGAAAAACTCATGTCAAGTTAAAATCATTATTTTCTGGTTCTTTTGAATAAAAATGTAACAACCACTGGCCTGTTTGAACCTTGCTTTTGTATATATTTGAGTGTTTATGCATTTGGAAGAACCACCTTAAGCTGGAGAAATACTGCGATGCTACATAAAACTTAGTTACACTCTTTCCCAAGGTGCTTGGAAATAAACATGAGTTGAATTATGAGCAAGTGTTATCAGATTACATTAACATTTGGGTCACTACTTAATGCTAATCATCATTAAATGAATATGTTCATAATTTGAACGGGTTTCAAATGTATCCATGCACTTAGTGAGGAAGAAATATTTGAATTTTTTTAGCAGTGAGTAATCACAAGGCTATTAAGACCTTCAGCCAATTATGTTGGAGATGTTATATTTTAATCCACTAAACGGGATCCGAACTTGATTGTATGCTGATGGATGAATCCAAACAAATTACTGTAAATCCAACAAATGTCACGTTTCTTCAGACCTTTAAAGATTACGTAAGTGATAAAGTGTGCCCAGAATTAAGCATGAGGGATTTAAAATATATCTGTTACACATGGGTGAATTCTTGTGTAAACATGTCCAGGTTGCATTATTTTTTTTGATTAAAGGGGTCATACGATGCAATTTAAAGTTTTCCTTTCTCTTTGGAGTGTAACAGGCTCTTGGTGCATAAAGATCTGTAAAGTTGCAAAGACTAAAGTCTCAAATCCAAAGAGATATTCTTTATAAAAGTTAAGAGTTAGTCACGCCTACCTAAAACGCCCCCACATATCTACGTCACGATGTGGGAAGATTTGCATAACACCGCCCAAATGTTCTCGCAAAGAAAGAAGGCGTAACTTTTATTCTCGCTGTAGTATTGTTGCTGCCGCCGCCATGTTGTGGATATGCTGTGTGTTTAGTTGTGAAAGCGAAAGTACTTTGTTTGGCCTTCCAAAAGAGGACGATATCCGCTTCGTCATGCCTGGAGCTGATCCGTGCTGGTTGCTGAGGGAATACATCAACTGTGGATCGCCGGATCGGCTTTCACCGCGCACGAAGCAGAGTCCAGCCTGGGGTCGTCACATGTGGTTGCCACAAGCCCACCCGCCGCCGCTCACTCTAGCCCACCGTGTGTGACACTGTTTCATTGTGAAAGCGAAACTACTTTGTTTGGTCTTCCAAAAGAGGACACGACTAGAAATCAGAAGTTGTATTTACAACACTGTTCCAGAACA